GGCTTCAACCTTCAACGAAGGAGTATGTGTTAGTGACCAGGAAAAAGTAATTCAGGGAAGTGTCGGCTTGACTTTTAACTAGCATTCACCATTTTGGACCAAAAATTATTTTCACGTCTGAAAAACCAACATGATAAAAAGGAGATAGTATAGGGGCCGGCCCGGTGGCGCAGTGCTACAGTGCGCCGCTTGGGAGCACAGCGGCGCTCCCGCCGAGGGTGCGGATCCCACATACAGACCGGCCGCTCACTGGCTGAGCGAGGTGCGAAAAAGTAATTCAGGGAAGTGTCGGCTTGACTTTTAACTAGCATTCACCATTTTGGACCAAAAATTATTTTCAAGTCTGAAGAACCAACATGATAAAAAGGAGATAGTATAGGGGCCGGCCCGGTGGCGCACTGCTACAGTGCACCGCTTGGGAGCACAGCAGCGCTCCCGCCCGTCTGAAAAACCAACATGATAAAAAGGAGATAGTATAGGGGCCGGCCCGGTGGCGCAGTGCTACAGTGCGCCGCTTGGGAGCACAGCGGCGCTCCCGCCGAGGGTGCGGATCCCACATACAGACCGGCCGCTCACTGGCTGAGCGAGGTGCGGGTGCAACACAGAGGGTTGCGATCCCGTTGCCGGTCCCGGTCCGGTACGGGCGCGACACTGAGGGTTGCGATCGGTAGCCGGTCACGAAAAAAGACAAAAAAGGAAGAAAAAAAAAAAAAAAAAAAGGAGAAAGAAAATTAGAGGCTTGAAATTCAGGAACTTTTATCATTTTCAACAAATATTTCCAAAAAGTCTTTTCAGGGTAGGTCATGGCTTAGCCCCAGCTGAGACACCTTGGGTCACTCTGCCTCAGGGAGGGCAAGGGTGAGACCTTCTCTGAAGGTTTCCGTAGTTCCTCTAACTTTTCTAACTGAACGTGATTCCAGCTAACATAACATTACCCACTTTCACAGCCTGGATAGAAACTTTGCCAGCCTGGGAAGTCTTCTGGCCAATGCTGGGAGGAGGGTATGGGGGTGTTGGAAAGAAGACTTGAAATTCCTTTGCATTACCTGTAAATGGGAAGTTCTGACTCTTCGGTTCCTTTCCCGTCTCCCCTCCGCCCCCCAGGTCATTTTCAGTTATACAATGTATAGGAGATCTGAAGGTTTCTCTCATGCTCTTAACCTCAGTCACTGCAGGAGGATGTAAAAATCCCTTTGAGAGACCCGGTAAGAACAGAATAAAAATGGGAAGGCTCCCCCCCGTGTCTTGCTCCTCTCCAATTCTCCTCTCACTCCTCCCCGCCTTCTCCCTTCTCCTCAGCTAGAGGAAGCCTTGGTTGAGGGTCTCTCGGGTCCGGCCCAGGCTCCGCGCTGCAAACCAGCCGGGCGTCCGCCTTTGTAATTAGGAAGCCTGCGCGCGCCGCCTCGGTTTCCTGCCCTGCCCTGGCCTGCGTGCCTGGGGGGCTCCCGGTCTCTCCAGCCTGGCATTTCGGGCTGAGGAGTCCCCTTCTCCTCTTCGCTCCCCAGAGGCCTCACACCCAACCCAACCCCCTCTCCGCCCCCCAGGCCTTGTTAACGTTCGACTGGGGCCTCCCGGAGATTAGACGCAAGTTTCCTTCCTCGGGGGCACATGCTGGGTCGTTTTGATGCTGGAGACTTCGGTCGTCCCATATTTCCCTCCGCTCGTTAGAAAGCAGAAAGGCCCGCACCCAAGTCGGAGGATCTGTGAAACGGGGTGCAGCCCAGACCTTAGCGGTTCTCGGGAGCCCTCGGGTCACGTCCTCGGCTTCCCGTTCTTCCCCTCCCTCGGCCTCCTTCGCTTCCCGCAGCCCAGGGGCCCAGGGCCAGGACTTTCAAGAATAGGGAAGTTTAGAGACGGCCATTGGCAACGAAAGATCTCCCGGGATGATCTCGTCGGGGGTTCGAGTCGGAGGCGGGCTGGGTGGGTCTTTAGAGTGAGCTGAGCAACAAATGAGTCTCTAATGCTTGATTTTCTGGAGTTGGGTGACCAAGAATCTCAAGTTCTCCGTGTAGCCTTTTACGTTAGTGAGTGGGTTCAGGCCCCGAGGCCTGTGATTTTTGGGGTGCTGGGCCCCGAGTTCCACGCTGAAAGCACCGAAGCTGAGTAGAGCACAACGGGCACAGCCTTTGTAACCGGAGGCGCCGTGCAGATCCTTGCGGGCCCCGGGCGCCAACAGTTGGGGTGCTGGGCCCCGAGTTCCATGCTGAAAGCACCGAAGCTGAGTAGAGCACAACCGGCACAGCCTTTGTAACCGGAGGCGCCGTGCAGATCCTTGCGGGCCCCGGGCGCCAACAGTTCGTCCTCCTCCCCACAAAGTTAATCGTGATTGTGGTTCTCCCCCTTTAATAGGCGTGAAGTCAACAAACTCCCCACATGGTGGCTCCCTTTACTAATCGTCCTCCTCCCCACAAAGTTAATCGTGATTGTGGTTCTCCCCCTTTAATAGGCGTGAAGTCAACAAACTCCCCACATGGTGGCTCCCTTTACTAAAGTTGAGAAGTGAATTGTGCAAGGAGTCTTGGAAATTTTCAAATATTTCTCCAGATTGAACTCATTTCAGAATTCGCGTGGGAGGAAAGAGTGAGAATTTTAATGGGGTTCACCTTTGACGTGAAGCAAAGCGGAAGACAGGAAACCCACAGTAGGTAATAGCTTTGGGCACTTTAGTAAGAAAGACGTCTCTGCTTGATTATCCGGTTGGGTTCACCGCAGGCTCTTTGTGTGAAAGCTTGCTGCAGAGGCAGAGCTGAACACGGAACACACGCATGTAAACACTCCAACATAAATCAGTGAACATATGCAGCAGAGACAAAGAGATTCATCTTCATGTAGGTGTAGGTTGAAGCTTGACTTAAGGCAGACAAACTGGAGCATGGCCAGGAGTAAACTAAGAGGAAGGAGGCAGTTTTTGGCCATTCATAACCAAGAATAAGCAAAACTTTGTCTTCTTGGAGGAAGTATTAAATCTCAAATAAGAGCAGGAATGGCATTGAAAATGAGAAACATCATATCTTGGAAAAAGCATGCAGAACTAATATAGCTTATTTAAATATTAGATACAAATCATAGTAACAGGAAACACTCCCACTCAATTGTCATTTCCCCTAATTTTTGTGTAAGATCCAAATAATTAAAATGCACAGTAATGGTTATTGATGGGTCTATTTTCTTTTTAGGAGAAACAGACTGGAGTTCTTTTACTAGAGTAGAAATTTTATGAATCTTCTTGAATTACTCAGGGACTTGGAAGCCTCTGGGTGGATGTGGTCTTCCTTTATTGTTTTCTTCTTCCCACGTCATTTCAGCTAAAATAATTGAACTGGTCCTAATAGAGGGATTCCCATTAGAAACTTTCAGCAAGTGAACTTATTCTGGCAATCCTTGTGCTTTCCCAGCCTGTCTGTATTTCAGAAAACAGAATTCAAGTCGTAAATAAAGTGGAAAAAACTTATTTCTTACCCCAAATTCTTAAAATTTCAATTGTTCTGGAAAACACAATTTCATAATTTCAATTTTTAAAATCAGTAATAACCACAGAAAGTGTGAGGGTGTCCAAACAGGCAATCTAGAGACCCAAAACCCAGCACTAACGGGAGACGCAGAATGCTCTTTACTCAAATCTAGACAAGGATGGGGACTGTTCTTTAGCATTCGGGCATTCACGAACACTGCAAGGGAGAGGGTTGTATCTGATCAGTGGGGCGATTTAGACAATGAATCGCCATACTAATAGCACCATTGCCAAATTTTCAGATGTAGAGGCTCTTATGAAAAATTAAACCAGTGGCAATTTTCAGCGTTTGTATCATCTGCGATCAAGCAGTTCAGCACCAGAGTCTGGACAGCTCCACAGGCCGCGCTCCGGACACAGCTTGAACTCTCATCAATCTGCTCATAACCACACTGTCAACGACAGCCAGACTCATTAGAGATTTACTGAAAATCTTCCAAGACTTCCCTTTAAAAACAAAACGACTTCCACATTTAATTGTCCATCTGAAAGAACATACGCAAGGAATTAGGAGATCTAAATTAAATTTATTAATAGGAGAGCTTGATGGTGCTTAATTCCAGAGACCAGAACTCTGATTGGAGGGGCTTGATGAAAAAGTAAAGAGAAATAGTAGGGATATAGTTAAAAACATGACTTCTATCATCCTCAAAATTCTACAAATTCTTTACCTGTCCTTGAGAAATGAGTGAAATTGAAAACCATCAAAATAATTGGACTTAAAAATTGGATTGTATGAGTGAAAGGTGTTTATGAGAAGTTGATGACTCCGGATCTTATCATCCAAGAAGACAGCACAGAATAGTTAATATGTTCCTTGAGGGACTAGGATGCTGACGTCTTTTTCTGATACCCGATCATTACGTGACTGAAGAAAAAAAAAAGGAAGTCATTTCATGAATAAAAATCGGAGCGCAACAGTGCAACAAAATATTCTGTACTTAAAGGCAATAGGCAGACAGATGTTGACAAAGAGAGCTCTCCCCAAACCATGTTCAGATAGATTTTTGCTAACTGCACGTATAAATAGGAGCAGAAGGCCGGTCACCTCTGTAACCAGCAGCAGCAGCAGCAGCAGAAGTCGCAGCTTCCGACGCAGCCAGAGAGACCTGAGCAGAGAAGGCGCTGCCGACTGTCGCAGCAGCCTGACCCGGCGGCTCCCACGGAGGCCGGCTGCGCCGCCGGCCCACTCCCTCCCTCCCTTTTCTGCTTTGACTTTCCCTCTTTTCCTCAATCAGTCGCTTCTTTCTCCCGGTGGACTTACAGCCACTTTGCTCCCCCCTCCCCCCGCCCCAGCTCGTCGCCTCCTCTTTATTCCTTCTTCATCTCTCCTCGCCCCCTTCTCTCGGTGTCACGCTCCCTCTTAGTTCTGTGTGTCTCCAAACTTTTGCACAGAATACTAGCCTCAGCAAACAAGTCCTCCAGCTCCTCCTGCTGCTACTGTTCGTTTCTGCGGCTTCTCCTCAGCCAGGAACGCCAGACGGTGATGCCTCTCGGGTTGTGACTCCAGCGCAGAAACTTAAAGGCGCCCTTTGCTCGCTGTCCCACTTGGCAGCAAAGCCTCTCCTAGCAGCGGTAAGAGTTGAATGGTCAGGGGGAAAAAAATCTTAGCAAACCAAACGACTCACCTGACTGCTGATTCTTTCGCCACGAACGGCATCAGGGTAAGAGTTAGCTTTCCTTCGTTCCAGGTCTGGCTGGTTATCGGGCGCTGGGCATACGAATATATATTTTTCTAACGATAGCAAGCAAGAAGTGTTAGGGCGCGCGCCGGCTGTCGCTAATGGTGTTTACTGCAGGGAGCCGGAGCTTGGCTCCGTCCCTCCCCCAGCTCAGGGAGTTTCTTGGGGTCGGAGGGTGTAAGGCCAGGGGTGTTCTAACGGCCGCGTGCCCTCTTTCACATACTGCGCAGAATGACCATGTGTAACGGAGCGAGGCTGACCCTGCTAGTCTATGGGATCATAATGCACAGCAGCATCTATTGCTCACCTGCCGCCGCCGGACTTCGGTTCCCCGGGATCAGGTAGGTGCTGACCGAGCTGGAGCCGGGGCTGCCCTTCCCCGCACGCCTCCTTGCGGTGGCCTTCCTGCAGTTCCCTGGGTCTAGGCGACTAGCATCGTCCCCCGTCACCTCCCAGCCCGGGACCTCGGTGCGCCTCCACCAGCCCTAGGCAGCCCCGGGCCCGGGTCGAGCGAGTAACCTTCTAATTAGCCGCCAGAGAAACCTCCCCTCCCCCAGCCTGGCCCGCGGGAGGGGCCCGGTGGCACCACGGATTGACTTTTTTTTTTTTTTAAAAAAAAAGAACTTGGGCTCCAGGAGCCAGGCCGGGTTGAGCGCGGAGCTCCCTCGGATTTGGCTTTGTTACAGCTTCTTCTGGACTGTCGGGGCGGGGTGTCCCTCCCTGTCCTCCGCCCTTCCTTTTCACCTCATTCCAATCCTTTCCCCAGAAGAGCTTTCTTTCAAACGATCCGTGTCCCGACTGCATTTGGGTCCCGGATTTTCCTGGGGAGGGAGGGTGTTGGCCGGGTGTGTTTGAGGAAGAGCGACGTGAATGAGACTGTGAGGGAGGAAGAGAGAGCAGGCAGGCTGGCAGGACCCGAGGAACCCCGCCTGTTCTCTTAATCCCTGGTCTCTAAGCGGTCGGCGCTGCCGGGTTCCCGGCCACGGCCGCAGAGCCGCGCGCCCGTGCGCAGGGCGGTGGAAGCGCGCGTGCTGCCCGCAAAAGCGCTCTTTGGCGCGGCGCCCAAGAACGTTCGTCTTGGAGGGCCGCTGACCAGCGATGTGGCCGGAGAGATGGGTTCTGGCTCCCGTATTAGAATTCCAGCATCGGGCGCGGCCCAGGGCGGGAAGTGCCTGGAAAGACTCGTGGTTCGGGGTGCCAGGGCCAGGGCTGAGGCGCGTCACAGAGGAAAGGCTGGGCGCGGGCGTGCGGGGGGACGCGCTGGCCCGGCCCGGGTCTCCGAAGCTGGAAGACGAGCGGAGTAACGGAGCACGACCCGCACCCCGCCTAGGCGGTGCTGTTTGCACTTGTCGCATCCCGAGTCTCTCCAGCGGCCCAAAGCGAGGGGGTGTTTTGACCCACCTTTTCCCGTCCTATACAAGGATGGAGGCGGTAAGCGAGGGCGACTGTGAAGTCGCCGGGAGCGCGCTGGCTCTCGGCCCTCTGTTGACACTTTCCCTGCGTTCCTGGGTTGAGACGGGGCCCCGCCACTGCTAACAGATTAACGCCAACTATTTATTTCGTGGATTTAAAAGCCCCCTGATTTCATCCCTAGCTATTTTCAGAGTCCCGTGTGCCTGGCACTTTCCCTGGGTGAGAGGCTCCGGCTGGCACGGGCACACCAAAGAGTGAACCGCCGCCGAACCGGCTAAGTTTAGGGGCATCTATTATTCATGTTCCTGCCAGATCCTCTCCAGCCCAAAATAGAAGCCGGAGGTTCTCCGTGACCTACATCTGCGAGGGGAAGGGCTCCCCTGGGCTTGGAGGCTGGGGTGGCGCTGGCTGCCGGGCTTGGCCGCCGCGCACTCCACGCGCCCGTCCTCTCCGTTCCGCTCCGGCCTCTCGCTTCGGCTCTCTGCCTTGGCCAGCGCCTTGTCTCCTCGGGCCTTTTTTGTCCCTGCCGGTGGCTACCTGGAGAGGCCCCGGCGCCAGGCGGGGAGGGAGGCGGTCCTTTTCAGTGGCCAGGTGCTTGCGGTCGGCCGAGACGCCTCAGTTTGCTATTGCTCGTTGAGGACGCTCCCCTCTATCAACGAGAGCAGGGCTGGGCGAACCGCCTGGCGCGGTAGGAATTTCTGTTGAGGGCCATTCCCTTCTCCTTACCTCTACCCCCGTCCCCGTCCTGGAAGAAGAGACAGTTCTCCGTGGGGGACCTGTAGGAAGAAGGGAAGTCAGTACAGCCCCTTTCTTTGAGTCTTCGCCGAGCTAGGGAGGGACTTGTGCTGACCACTCCTCTGTCCCCCGGCCACCCCGCAGGCCCGAGGAGGAGGCGTACGACGACGACGGAGCCCCGCTGCAGGACTTGTACGACTCGGACCCGCAGGGCGTGGGGAGCCCCGCCTCCGCGCTCTACCACCCCGCAGCCCGGAGGTACGACCCGCGCCGACTCCCCGACTCCGCCGCAGGCGCGGGCTGCGCACCCGGGCGGGGGCTCAGGGGACGGGAGGGCCAGGGTGGTGGCTCACCCAGTGGGTTCATTTTCAGAAAAATCCTCAAGTTTCTCTTCTCTCTGGCTGGATCCCAGGGGAGCGACAGAAAATTCGTAGTGGGGGTTGGGGGTCTGTGTGGACCTGAGGGCCACGTGGGGACCGAAAAGCCTGTGGCCGAAGGATTGTCAGTGAGTGGAGTCACAAGCCTGCACTCCACACCTGCCACTCCCGGAGGCCAGAACTAACTCCCGATCCTAGCGTTCAACTCGCAGCAACGTCCCAAGAGTTATTTGCGAGCCTGTGCCTCTAGGGGTTTCTCCGTAGCCTCCTCGAACGCCGAGGGGGGCACGCGCCCAGCAAGGGTCCTCCAGCGGCCACTTGCGGGCACAGTCAGTGACCCTGGGCGCCTGCTTTGCCTCCCTGTCAGAGATGTTGCCCACGGGATCCTTAACAAGGCCTACCGCAAAGTGCTGGACCAGCTGTCCGCCAGGAGGTACCTGCAGTCGCTCGTGGCCAAGGGCGTGGGGTAAGAGTTCGTGAATGAGTGAACCGGCGCGGGACGTGAAAGGGTTAACCCGCGAGCGCCGGGGTGGGTGTCGGTGCGGAGCGCGCGCGGGGCGGGCGGCGCGGCTTCTACGTCCCTGCGTGCACGTGGGGCCGAGGGTGCTTCGGGGCCCGGGGTCTTGTATTGGCCGCCAGCATCAGGCGGAGATTTTGAAGTGGTACCTTAAAACTGGCCGGAGAGCTCGAGATCGGGGAGAGAGAAAGGGGGCGGGAGAAGAGGGGTGTCTGATCCGTTTTGAATGAAAAGAAAGAGAAACCAAATAAAACGCTCCAGTCATTCGAAACCATCAAGCTTAGTTTGAGAATTTGCTATAATTTCCCCTAAGCAGGACTTTTTTGGGGTGGGGTGAGGGGTGGGCAGTGCATTTACTGTAAATTCAAATGGAAACAAATAAATCATCAAATTTGGACATTTAGGGAAACAGTTTTTGCTCACGCCAGACAAACTCAGAGCACAGGGCTTGCGTGAAGCCTATCTCAGCAGAAGGCAACGTTTTAATACAGCCCAAGGGAAAACAGATGACATTTTCGCAATGAATAATTCATGCGGTGAAAAATATTGCCCACAGCCTGTCGACTTATATTATTATCACGTTTTTCAACTTGGCGTGCGGAAGGAGAGGAGTGCTGGTGTTTGACTCGGAATCGCAGCAGCCAACCGGACATGCAGGGCTCTTTGGTTATTTTCTCTGTACGTCGGGGGTGAGAGGGACAGTTAGGACCATTGAGCGCAAACGCACGGACGATAATCAAATCTCAAAGGGCAGACTTTGGAGAAAGGTTAGGCTTAAATCGCGTGCCGTTTGCCCGGATCTCACACCCGGCCCCTTCCATCAGGTCTTAGTGCCAGGAAACCCTGGTGGCGAGGGAGGAACTGGGGGCGTCCGTCTCAGCACCCCCTGCGGCCGCTCCCAGGCAGAGGAAGGCGGCGCGGTGCGCAGTGCCAGCCCCGTGCGCTCCGGGAAGGCTCCCTCGCGGGGTGGGGCCTGCCTGGTCCCCGCAGCTGTTGAATCTGTGTCTCCCGCCCCGCCACCCTCTTCCCGACCCCTTTCCTTGCAGTGGGAACCTGAGCGGCGGCGAGGACAACGACTCGGAGCCGCTCTCCAAGCGCCACTCGGACGGAATCTTCACGGACAGCTACAGCCGCTACCGGAAACAAATGGCTGTCAAGAAATACTTGGCGGCTGTCCTAGGGAAAAGGTATAAACAAAGGGTTAAAAACAAAGGACGTCGAATAGCGTATTTGTAGCGAAGAGTTACCAGCTACCCTGTGTATACAACCCTGACACAATGAAAAGTCGTTTTCCAAACCGACTGAAGTCATCGCTCATGTGTTCTATCCAAACATGTATTTATGTATGAAGTAAAGCCATTAAATGAATATTTTGATAATAATATTGTTTTTCTTTTTACAAAGCACTAGAGAATGCACAGATATACTTTGTGGACCAATTATTGATATATATTATAAATATATATTAAGAATATATATAATAGAGAACAATTCATACAAAGTGTGCACAAGGATTGAAAATTTGCCTGAGCTGTTTATGTTTTTATATAAAATAAATAGAAAAATAGACAATCATTGTTTTGAATATTACTCCTATTTTTGTAAACTGGAATTATAAGGAAAGTATTTTTATCCATGAAAGGCCTGAAGATATTAATACTGACCATTTGCTATTGTATATAAACAATGATGCCTGCTCCAGGGAGACTTTGAAGTAATGATTTGGAGAATTGCTGAAGGGCTTTCTCTCCCAGCAAGTCTCTGAGGCAGGCTGCTTCAATCCCTGCCTAACTCAACTGGGCACTGTTCCCCTGGCTAGGCGGCAATTCCAATACTTCTGCTCTCTTTGATTCTACTTTTATGTATATTTGTCTCTCTTCAGACTCAGCCCAGAAGGAAATTCTCCTGATAGAACAACAGCTCAATCCAAATTGTGCTTCTCCCTAGAATGCTCACCATTCCCTGGGGGGAAGAGTTGAGGGATTGTACAGAGAAGGGAGGCTTGGGTACAAAGCTCTCTTTTCTGTACTTCCTGATTCACCCGGGTACCTAATATCCCACGTTTAGGGCAATTGGAACAAAGTGAAGGAAATAAAGGTATATTGGAAGGAGCAGAGCATAAAGCAGTAGGACCCTGGAGGGGACTGGTTTGAGGCTGCCCCAGGTGTGGGAAGCTGGCAAGTCCAGTCCCAGGGTAGGTCCACTGCCTGCCTGACTTTGGGCGCTGGGTATTGGAAATGGATGCAAAGTACAATGTGTTTTTCTCCAGTGCTGTCCATGCTTCTCATCTTGTGAAATGGCCAGGATCCTTCCCTTTGAACCCAGCTCTATAAGAGCCACCCTTTTCCTTTGTGGGTTTTCTGGAGACCTCTCTTTCCTACCCTCCTGCACTGTTTAAGTACCGTTTACCATTTTTCATTCACTTCTCTTAAACGTGTGAATGCTTCTTACTTTTTGTTGTTGTTGTTTGATGCAAGCACTACTGTAAGTTTTAGGAACACTTGTGTAGCTACCACTCAGTAATTATGCACTAAATATGAACCTTTTGTTTCTTGTTTATTGAGTTTGTAGGTAAAATGTATTTTTCTACATTATGGCTTATTGCTTAGTAAAATATATTTCATAAAACCAACCTTTGTCATATTAGAATGTGTAGTGTTCCCATGTTGTTCAGTTTTACTAACTGATAAATCATTTAAACCTCATCTTCATATGTATGAGTACTATCTTATATCTGTGGTCAAGAGTGAGGTAAGCAAGCTCCAACAGACCCTGAGAACCTATCCTTGTATCCTTGTCGGATAAAGAAAGCATGTCTGTTTCCTGTCAATTCTTTGAACATATAGAGTAATCTTTATAAACAAAAGAACTTTCACCCAGCAACCAGATCAAGCAGCAACAGACAAACCAGCCAGCCAATCTCCCAAATTTCAGGCACAAATTTTTTGAAAAAGAGAAAAAAAAAAAAAAAAAAAAAAAAAAAAAAAAAAAAAAAAAAAAAAGAAAAAAGAAAAGATTAAACATTAGCTTGTAAAATTTAAAGGACCTTTCCTTTTCCTTTACTGATTTGATCAGTATGAAGTCATAAATCAAAGAAAACAGAATTGGATTTGCATTCCCAGGCGGGACAGAGGCTGCCAGGAGATCACATTGCAAACAGTGAGAACAGAGGCATTCGATCTCTGCCTGAGTCCTGAGTACAGGATCAGTCTTTCTTTAATTTTGCAGTCTCCTCAGGCAATGTAATGTGGATGCAGTTTGCAGCTTTAGTGCCTTTCTTCGCCTTTTAAATTGCCACGAATCACAGATGGCTATTTAGTGGCCCTACAATGCTGCAACACATCAGCTTGCATTTTAGTCGTAATTATTTGTTTCTTGGATAATGGGCAGAGTTTTCTGTATTTGTGTCAGCTGTTAGTGGTGAAATAGGGCTTTATAGTTAACCTTTCATTTATGAAGTCTAAGTTAGTGTTCCTGTGGCTAGTTGCAAGCATTTTACAGTGATCACCCAGTTTAATCTTTTGTATCCTTTTTAGAAATGCCAAGAGCCTTACTAAACTGGAGCAGATTTATGATATAGTGATAATTTAGGTAGATGTTAGTCTTGAAGCTATTTTGTGTGCAACTGATTATAAAAACATCTTAACCAAGTATTATTACACACATGATATCTATAACTAGGACTTTGATAACTGTTATATAAAGTGTGTAAAATTTGTATGAATAAATTTTTGTAAACAATGCAACTTGGTCTAATGTTTGGAGAAAAAAAGACACAGGAAATTACCTTAAAATCTCTTAAAGTATTATATTTCTTTAGCAACCATAAGATTATTCATGTCTGGAATATATATCTATCTAAGCATCCATGTATTTTCATAAACCATACTTTAATATCTGCTTGATGGGTTACTGGATTCAACTAAACATTTAAAGTAGCTACTCAGATGGAAATGCCTAAGAAGATATTAAGCTTATAAATAGGCACGGATGTTGGAACATTTATAAAACACACAATTTAGATTAATTTCCTTCCCCTAGTGTGTATATACATTGCTCAGTATTCAGAAAGTTACTAGGCAGTGGTGGGAGACAATACTAGAGTATTACTTAAACTTCTAAAATAGCTATTTAACATTGTTTTTTATAAGAAATTCTGCAGACCAAATTGGTCTTAGTAAAATTGTGTATAAAAATATGTGCCTGATCTAAATAATCAGTTTTGGAGGTTTTAAAATTTGTTTAGAAATATATAAGCATCTATCTCTGATTAAAATGCTTTGGGGAGAAGGAAAAAAACATGGGTAAGTAAAGAGTTAATTAGATACCTTTAATAGAAAATGAACTTTGAAGGCTAGGACAAAACATGAAAAGTCATTTGTGGATTATATGCTTTATTAGTTAATATTAACAAACTTCAAAGAAAGCCTTCATATGAAATTCCCATAAATTCCTCAGTGCTGTGTTTTTTGGAGCCCTTGACTATTTCTAGGTTAAAAAAAGTTTGGTATTGAAAATAACTTGTAATAAGTCACATACCATTTAATTTAAGATGCCAGATTTTCACACTAAAAATTAATGTGTTCAATTAATAAATCAATAGATTTGTTGCAATAGGATTAAAGGACCAGCAAGGATTAAAAAAAAAAGTATCTTCAGAACTTAGCTCAGCATTTAAGGCCCGGAATCATGTAGACAGGAACCCACAATCTAGAAATCCTATTTACAGTAAATATTAAAAAAATGAATAGAGTACAGTTTATATTTACATTGGACTTTATTAGATAAGGAGGTTTTCTTCTCCATCTTTAACTGCCCTCCCCCCATGGAGTCACTGGTGTGGTAAATGGAAAAATGAAGAAAGATAATTTATTTGGTTTGGTGCTAAAGGCTTATCAAGAAAGTAAAGCCTTAGACTTGGTTGACTTCAAATGAAGTCCATATATAGCAACTTGCTATATTCTTTTATGGGGGATAACTCAAATTATGGCTTTTCTTAGGAAGACAACATTCTGAAGAGGGGAGATGCCTGCTCCCCTTGCCGCTGCTCACTGCTCTACCACTGGGTCCTACATTGGTTTGTGGCTGGTCATCCTGGCTTCGGTCATTCTCCCTTCAACCAGGTAGTTTTAGCTTCTTCTTAGCATTATATCCCTCTGGCCGGATGTTCTGGAGTATCCTCCATCGTCATAGCGTCAAGCCTCTTCAGCAGTCATCTTACCTCTCTTTTCTCCAACATAATCCTTTCTCTTTAGAAGGACAGATTCTTATTAGTTGAAACTTGAATGCTCCTTTTCAACTCCCAACATTCCCTGATGTCCTGAATGTCCTTTCTCTACTGACCCAATCTCAATACCCTGTAAGGTCCGACTCAAGCCCTCCTTTTCTAGGAACCTCCTTCAGCTTCTCAGAGTCACCGTCATCTTCACTGTGCCTCACCCCCGCACTGTTTGCCTCTGACCCTTACTCCCTGTGCTGCCATTTTTGACCTTTAATTCCACAGTGCTCTGCCCTGTTCCTTAACTGTTCTGTAAGTGCATGGCTTGTGTCCCTAGCTGGATGACCTCCTGGAGGGCATGGGTGATATAATGCCCAGCACACTTCTGGGAACATAATAAATTTCTTTTTTGAATGATTGAAACAACCAGAGGACTTGAGGAATTCACCATGACATTTCCTCCTTATTCTAATAGGACAGCAGCAAAGCATATATAGGAAGTGAAATTAGCTTATTAATTAGGTGTTCATCACGAATTAAACTAGATCTCCCTCCTGGAAAAGCTACGTAAAAAAGAATGCTGAGTTAATTAGTGTGCTTCTGCCATAGGATAAAATGAACTTTAAATTCACATATAGGAAGAAGGCTGCAATAGACTCAAGCCACGCAGGCCTTTATTTTTTTCATTCTGATAAAGAAAATAGGGTTATATTTTCAAACTAAAGAGAATTCACCTTATGCCTCAAGACAGCAATACTTTTCCCTAGAATAAATGAAAAAGGATAGCTTGAAAGGAAGACGGGACTGGACTGCCCTCGAAGTGATAATTAACAGAGCAATTATCTACAGCTGCCAAAGAAACTTTCCCCATCAACTGAAATGTAATTTGAAGCAAGAGTTCATAGACAGGAAAAAGGACATAATAAAAAAAAATTTTTTTTAAAGAGTTTAGCATTGTTGTAGATGATGTCATCTGGTCCAAATTAATTTTCTTCTTAGCTGTGTCTTTGCTATATATTACAGAATCCTAATCAGGGAGGAATATTATGAAGAAAATACTATGATGTGTATCTGTGTATATTTCCTTTTCTCTTGTTAACTATGCCGATCTTTGCTTGGTTAACCACACCTTCCTCATGCAGGGCATTGACTGGTTGGGGACAC